GCTGTCAGTTCGGTGGCGCTAGCGAACACGTCCTCCCCGCGCTGTCGAGTCAGTCGCAGAGCCGCGCCGATGACAGGTCACCACGGCGTGAGCTCTGTAACATCGCGCTGTTTTATCCCACTTTCGGAATTGTACTTGACGACGGTAAAATGTTGTTTAAAATATGAATAGCTTCAGACAACTTGCCATTGAAGAGTTTGTGAGACGCGCCAAATTAAACGGAAGTGTTGACACAGCTTCCGTTTCATGTGAAATTAGCTCTCATCATCTACTGAAATCTTTACTTATTTCAGTTATGCATATGAATGAATTTCACTACGGTTGATCTTTTCGTTTCACTCGTGTATGTAAGAGGTTTTTCAGTTATGGATATGAATGTATTTCACTAAGGTTGATCAGTGTTTTCACTAGTGTTTGTAAGAGGTTTTTCAGTTATGCATATGAATGTATTTCACTAAGGTTGATCAATGTTTTCACTAGTGTTTGTAAGAGGTTTTTCAGTTATGCATATGAATGTATTTCACTAAGGTTGATAAGTGTTTTCACTAGTGTTTGTAAGAGGTTTTTCAGTTATGCATATGAATGTATTTCACTAAGGTTGATAAGTGTTTTCACTAGTGTTTGTAAGAGGTTTTCAGTAATGCGTATGAATGAATTTCACTAAGGTTGATCAATGTTTTTAATTTCACTAGTGTTTGTAAGAGGTTTTTCAGTAATGCATATGAATGAATTTCACTAAGGTTTATCAATGTTTTTCATTTCACTAGTGTTTGTAAGAGGCTTTTCAATAATTATGGCCTATACTGCCCCTCATAGAATTCTTTTGCAGTTAATGTGTGTCTTCTTCTTCAGCAGTTTTTTCTAACCCAATGAGCATTTCGCTCTCCAATGGTCAACGCCTTAACTTTGCAATTTCTAGTATTGCATCCTTCTCATGGCCATTTAATAATTTTTGACTTTTCAGTCCGAGTTAAATTTCTTTTCAATTTTATCTGTAAAAGACAACCTGCTTAATAATTATGCACACCTGAATATAAGGCGTTTTTCACTTCCATCCTTCATAGACAATTATATATAATTTATAAATGATTAAAGACAAAATGAATAGTAGTTATTAAGATTGATGTGGTTTGGAATTGGTCAAATGTGCTTGGGAAAAATATGACCAGAATATCAACTTGCAGTTGCATAATAATTATGCACGCACTGTATAGTCCTCTGTTGAGCTGAGTACAAGTTTTTTCACGCTTGCTCTGTTGATTAAAGGCATGAAAAGCAGCCAACTGTAGTGTGAAACATAAATATTTGTTGTTGATTTATTCTGATCGGGTCACTTGAATCAGAATGCCTAAATATTTTTTCACAGTTGCCCTGTTAGTCTGTGACTGTCTTGTAAGTCCATCAATCATGCTCTATTTGTCTTTTTTAGATTGATGAAAGTGCAGATGCCAGTTTCTTGGGATGGGTGGTTGCTGCATATAGTTTGGGTCAGATGGTGGCCTCACCCCTCTTTGGATTGTGGTCCAATCACAGGCCTCGGCGAGAGCCTCTAGTCTGCTCTATATTCATCAATGTCTCAGCTAACATTTACTACACCTATGTCTACCTACCTCCCTCATACAACAAAATTCACATGCTTTTGGCTCGTACATTTGTGGGCATTGGAGCAGGTAAACTTATATACACGTATCTCAAAAATTGAGGTCAGTAAGATTTTTTTAGAGAAAGAAATTAATACTTTTATTTAGCAAGGATGCATTAAGTTGATCAAAAGGGACAGTAAAGATTGTAACATTTTGTAATGTTACAAAAAAAATCTATTTCAAATAAATGCTGTTCTTTTGACCTTTATATTCAATTAGAGATCGACCGATATATCGATTTACCGATATTTTTCCAGATATTTAAGCATTTTACAATAATCGGATATCGGTTTTGTAATATCGGATTCACCGATAAACGCCGCCATCTTGTGGGCGTTTTGAGAATTGCGCGCAGGATCGCCATTGCAGCGCGTCTGAGGGGAGACGAGACAACAACAACGGCGTGCAGGTACTTCATATAGTTGCTATAGTTAGTAAACTTTATTTAGCATAACAGCCATTTATGCACAAATTAGATGCATTATATGAATGCCTGATATGTAGTTTATGCAGCTTGGCTCTAAGAAATAGAGACCAACTCATGGAGTCACATAAGATAATCCGTCAAGTCCTGTCCCAATAAAGACATAACTTTGCCTGAATTAAATAATATGCAGCCATGAATGAGCGCATGTTGGAAATAAAAGCGCTGAATTTAATTCTCTCTCTGTTGTATATTTGTTCATCGGTAGTCTCGTGAAGCCGCTTTAATATTGCTGTTCACTCACCTGGTTGATGCGGTTGATGCTCAGGAAATGCTCCAGCACGGCCACCGCATGTAACTTTTAACAAGATTCACCCTAAATTGTATTAACATTTACTATATAACCATTATTTCGCAAATAAACATCTAAATAAATACAACAGTTGAGAAATGCAATAGAATACGTTTTGTTTGTTATATTTCAATATTCCAGAGAATATTATTCAGTGAATTAACATTATCCAGTGAATTATTCTTGACTCTGTAGTAGAGCCCTGCACGGGCCTCAAATATAGGCCCTAGCCCGGCCCGGGTCC